CACACACACCCGCCCCCCCCCTGCGCGCACACACACACACACACACACACACACACACACACACACACACACACACACACACACACACACACAGATACTTTGAGTGTTTATTTGTTTTTGTTCTTGTTTTGAGAAACAAGCCCTCACCATGCAGACCAGGCTAGACCAGAACTGGCAGTTTCCTGCCAGTCTTCCCCAGTGCTGGGTTGACAGGTGTGGGGCACCTTGCCTGGTGTGTTTCATGTTTGTCATGAGTCCAGCCCTTTAGCACTTTAAGCTGTCCTTGTCCTGAAGTCTGCTTTCTTCTGATGGGCACATGTGGTGCGTCTCTTCCATCCTCTACCTGTAATATTTTACTTTCTGTGCAGTCTTCAGTTGTGCACTTCCTTGGTAGTTGAGATGGAATGCTGGTTCAGACCGTAAGGCAACGAGTACCTGCATTTTGGTTCATCATTAGAATCAGAAGTTGGCTCTTTTTCTGATCTGACTATTTCTGTCTGTTAAGTGAGGTGTCCATGCCATTCGTATATAGCTGTTTATTGATAAAGCTTGAAATGTGTGGCAACGTGCTTACATATTCCCCCTTTCTTATTGTAGATGTCATCTGACGGCTTCGTTCCCTCTTCTGCTGTTTGTTTAAATAGTTGTTATCGTTAACTGTTTTCAAAGAATATGTTTCTTTGTCCATGTATTTCCTGTTTCCTGGTATTTGTTATTCTTTTGAGTATCTAAGCTGCTTCTTGTACGAGTGCTTTCTATATTCTTGAGCAGTCAGTCTCCTTAATTCTTGTCAGTTTAAACACCTAGTGGGGGGGCGGGGGGAGAGGGGTAGGGTCCTTGTAAAATTCTTCTTAGGTTTAAGTTACTGGGTAATCAAAAAAGAAGGGGAAAAAAAAAAGATGATTCTAGTTTATGGTGGCACACACTTGGGCAGCAGAGGCAGGTGGATCTCTGAGTTCAAGGCCAACCTGGTCTATAGAGGGAGTTCCAGGACAGCCACGGCTACACAGGAAAACCCTGTCTCAAAAATCATTAAAAAATAAAAAAGTTGCTGGGTAGCCAGTATTATGGCCAGGAGGATTATTGTATCTCTTTTGACTTTTTTTTTTTTTTAATGTTTTACCTGCTTTTTATTTTTGTTTGTTTTTATACACTTAGAAATCCCCATCAAGTCTGAAGCAGATGTCCTGACAGAAAACCATGTCCCTCATAGCAGTCCCCCCAAGAGTCCAAGACAGAGTGTTAAAACAACTGGTAGAACTATCTCAAGAGCCAAGTTGGAGAGCCAGAGGAATGGCTTCAGGAAGATAGCCCTAAAGAGGAAAAAGAGTTGTTACCACCCACTATTTGAACCAAGAACACGTCACCCGTACCTCCTGGAAATGGTGAGTGGTATTTCTTCATGCTGTGATGTCTGTACTTTTGTCATAAAGGTGGGGTCACTGGGGTGCTGTGTGTGTGTTTCCAGGCTACCCGTGTTCCTTGGAGACTCATCTGTGTGGATGTCTAACCTCTAAAGCTACATTTGGCATATAATTGGTGTTCAGTACATGCGGAACAATTACAGTTGTCATCACTGCTTAACACCAATATATTTAAGTATAGGTTTAACTACTGATAAGGAAGTTTGTGTTGGCATGATGAAGGAAAAGAAAGTCATTTTCTGTTTTAAAATAGAGATGCCTATTGAGGGCTGCAGATCAATGGCTCCACAGTTTAGAGCCCTGGCTGCTCTTTCAGAGGACCTGGGTTCATTTTCCAGCACCACATGCTGGCTCACAACTGTGTATGACTCTCATTCCGGGAGATCTGATACTCCTTTCTGGGTTCACAGGCACTAGGAGCATATACATACATGCAGGCAAAACACCCGTACAGACAAAATAAAAACAAATGAGTGAATGAATAAATGCGTTTTTAAAATGCCTTTGAAACAGCCCAAAAGTAATGTGAAGACAAGTCCTGAGTGAGTGACCTATACCAAGTCGCATTTCCTGTGTGCACAGCCTTTGCCTTCCGATGACCATGCCTTTATTTGTATCTGTCCTGGGCTTTAATGGTTTTACCAGCTTTGTGTGTTGGACCATTTACTAAACACTTGAGAAATGGGAGTGATGCTTCTCAGAGGTCACATCTTTTCCTGTCTAAGAGAAGCAGTTTTAGTGGAGCTGTGAGGTCCCTTGCTTCATCGGGTGAGTGTGTCTGCTGTAGCCAGAGTGTCCTGTTTGTTCTGTCAGGGTTACATGCAAACACTTGCTTCTTACTAAGTCAGATGCAGACTATACTCTGTGGTGTGACTGTAACTGCCAGACACAGCCAGCTGCAGTCTTCAGACATCTGTCTGATGCTGTTGAAGGTCACCAAGTGTTGTTCCTGATACGTACTACAGATGTCAGCAAGCAACATGACATAAAATCCTGTCTGGCAAATAATAGGATTCCTTGGTCGTGTACTGTTCTGGATACCAGGGAGTTTTAACTTCCCTTCAGTTGCAATTAGGAAAATAAAGGAATGTAGAGGTATTTTATGTGCTAGTTTCAGCTCTTACTGTATTTAGCACACTTCCGCTTTTACCATCTATAGGCTTGGATTTGGGAAGTCCTCTTAATTATTTCTTTGAAGATAGAGTTTCTGTTCTGCCTGGGCCTGCTGCCCTTCAGTACCAAATAAACACACAGAGGCTCATATTAATTATACTGTTTGGCTGATAGCCCAGGCTTCTTATTGGATAGCTCTCTCTCTTATCTATTTATTTATTTATTTATTTTGGTTTTTTGAGACAGGGTTTCTCTATAGCTTTGGAGGCTGTCTTGGAACTCCCTCTGTGACCAGGCTGGCCTTGAACTCACAGAGATCTACCTGCCTCTACCTCCCGAGTGCTGGGATTAAAGGTGTGCACCACAGCTGCCCAGCCAAAATTTTTTCTTCTCTCTTTTTTTTCACCCCCCCTCTCTTTTTTCTTTTCTCTTAATTTTTTTATTTTAATTAGAAGATTATTTTACATGTCAATCCCAGGTCCCTCTTCCTCCCCTACCCCCCCCCAACTAACACCTACCTATCCTATACCCTTTCTGCTTCTCAGGGAGGGTGAGGCCTTCTGTAGGAGGTCTTCAGAGTCTGTCCTATCCTTTGGGATAGGGTCTAGGCCAACCCCCTTGTGCCTAGGTTCAGGGAGTATCCCTCCATGTGGGATGGGCTCCCAAAGTCCATTCCTATGCTAGGGATAAGTACTGATCCACTACAAGGGGCCCCATAGATTTCCGAGGTCTCCTCACTGACACCCACATTCAGGGGGTCTGGATTAGTCCTATGCTGGTTTCCCAGCTATCAGTCTGGGGACCAAGAGCTCTCTCTTGTTCAGGTCAGCTGTTTTTGTGGGTTTTACCAGCCTGGTATGGACCTCCTCCTCTGCAACTGGATTTCAGTTCGGTTCAAGGTTTAGCTGTGGGTGTCTGCTTCTACTTCCACCAGCTGCTGGATGAAGGCTATAGGGTGGCATATAAATTAGTCATCAATCTCATTATCAGGGGAAGGCATTTAAGGTAGCTTCTCCTCTGTTGCTTAAATTGTTAGTTGGTGTCATCTTTGTAGCTCTCCAGAC